CCCGGAGGCCCAGGAGGGTTTGCCAGTCAGAAGTGCTGCTTTCAAGGCATTCCTGGGGGATGTGCAGGCCAAAATCGGGGAGATCAAGAATGAAGAGACTCTGGTGCAAATTCAGTACTTCGAGGACAAAGCTCGCAACCTCATGGCTTCCAACGTCCAGCTCTTTGTCTTCCAACCGTCAGAGAATGAGTTGTGCGCGTACTTTGACAAAGCAGCTGCTTGCCAAGTCAGAGGTGGTGGTAATCAGTGGGTGGGAATCTTGCTGGATCCTGCTCAGTGGGGTGAAGCTGTGACGAACCCACACATTCGTGTTTGCCCGTTGAACCAGCAGTACTTGAAGACCTTCTTGGCGTCAGTGGTCAAGTCCAGGGACAAGCAGCAGCTGACCTTGCACCATCGCGACCTCTTTATCTACTTTGATTCGTTCTTGCCTGGCAATTTGAACAAAGTGCTAGGTTCTTTCCAGACTCCAGCCGGAGATGCCTTGAACAAAAACTCCTTCGGTGTCTTCATCTCCTATGATGAGGAAAGTCTCAAGCAACGCCGGCAGTACATCAAAGCAAACTCAACGACTTTTCAGCAAGTTGAGCTAATGACGCTGGTGACTGCTGAGAATTTTGGAGACGCCATGACCAAAACAAACCGCAAGATCTACAAGGGGACCAACTTCGGGAACAAGATCGGAGACGTGTTGTTGGAGAGCCCCAAATTGCTTTGGTCTATGGCTTTGAAGGCATGGATTGAAGATTTTTTAGAAGGGGGGTGCAGGCTTTTTTTTTGGCCTTTTTCCCTTGCCACTGCATTTGTGGGCAGGACAAAATCACTTTGTTTGGCAAGTACCGGGTGTCCGTTGGTGGTCGCACCACCGGGGAAGCAGAGAGCCATCGTGGAGTCAGCAACCGCAAGCTCAACACTGAAGAGCCCGTGTTTTGGCATAGCCGTCCTTTGAGCCTTTGCCTTGAGCTTTTGGCCAGTTACAACCTGGCTGCCGTGGTGGACGCTGGAGCTGGCGATGGGAACATGGCCCTGGCGTGCGCTTTGAGTCGCATGCCTTACTGCGGTCTCTGCCTCACTGAAGATCATTTGACCCAGGTCCAAGACCGCATTGTCACTGAGATCATGCTGCGCATGCTCTCTTCTTCCGAAAGCGTGTTCGAACCCAAGTTGGCTGCAAGTTGCTTGGCCTTTTGTTTGTTTTTGGTGTAGCGCCTTTCATTCAAATGTATTTTCAGCGCGTCAGTCAGGTTTGGGAGGAGATCGCGCTGGCCGGTCGTCTCAGCCAAGCGGTGCAAGGACGGCAGAGCAGCAAGGCGTCAGCCATCCAGCCTCTAGCGGAACGACTGGCAACCCACCCAATACCAGTGGCAATGACAGTGGCACAGCAGCGTCTGTGCTGAATGAGTTCAGGGCTCAGTTGGCGAACCTCCAGCAGCAAGGCCAGTGATATTTTTTGGGATGAGGATCACGATCGGCGCAAAATGGTCTTTGAGGCGTTTGGCCCGACCTGACAAGAGGTCGAAGATTCATTTGGACAAGGCTGACTGACAGAGTAGCTGTGGTTTTGCACTCACAGCTCAAAAATTGGAAGGAAAAGGTCTTTGCAGCAACCCCTTTTCCGTTTGAGTCACTGCGCATGGCGCTGTCAATCAGAGAGACCAGCCACATCGCACACATGGCCGCTGTCGTTTCAGCAAGATTTTTTTTGGTAGGTTTATTCCATCATGGCGCCGCGGTTGTCCAAGCCGAGAGCCACGGCCAGTGGGCGCGCAAAGACCCCCCTACCACCAGCGACAGAAACCGAGAGTAGAAAAGCAACCAAGCGGCCAGCTTCAGACCAGGGAGGCGCAAGCAAGACTGCCAAGACCACGCTGCTCCCAGCAGAGCCTGGCAAAGTGAACCTCATAGCTGCGCAGCCTCCAAACACCCCGGCCGAAGTCACGCTGGCTTCTGACTGCTCTGGTCTTTGCACTGAAGGGCCAGCGGTGCGAGTGAACTTGCCTTCATCTGTCAATGTGAAGCACATCTACACTTCTGAAATTGATTCCAACTTCAGGAGCACAAGTAATTAATTTACAATGATGATGGGGTTCTATTTTTTTTGTTCAAAGTGATTTTTTAATCTCCCTGAAGGAAATTCATTTCTGAGTTTGTCAAGCCCCAGCAGTTGGAGAACGACATGGAGAACACATTGCATCTTGGGCGTGTGTGGTTTGATGTTGACCTTTACGCGGTCGGCAGCCCATGTCAAAGTTGGAGTCTTGCCGGTAGTAAGTCTGGGGCTGCAGATTCCAGAGGCGGTCTCATGGCTCTGATCCCTTTTCAAATTGAAAAGCACAAGCCTCGCAGCTTTATCTCCGAGAATGTAAAGGGCCTCCCGTCACTCTTTCCCAAGGAATTCAACTGGCTGATCCAAGCTTTGAGAGACATTCAGCTTCCCAATGGTGAGCAATGCCTCTTATCTTGCTTCAGAATGTTTTGTGAACGCATCTTCTTTTTTAATTGTTTCAACCGCATAGTGGCTCGCAGAAGCTCTGCCATGGTGTGCTGCAGGCTACAATGTTTATTACAAGCTGCTGGACACACAGCACTTCGGAATTCCGCAGCACCGCGAACGGGTCTATATCATCGGTATTCGCCGAGACGTGCAAGTGAAGCACTTTGAGTGGCCAGTGCCTTTCAAGGAGCGGCTCACGCTCAAGCAGCTCCTTGGCAATCCTGCCATGGAATGGAAGTGCAACTTGCGGGAGAAGACACACGATGTCGACGGCTCAGCTCTATCCAGCACAGCCCGCAAGAACTTGATCCAGTTTCAAGACTTTTTGGACAAGAATCCGGCCAAACAAGACTCTGACTTCATTGTCGACACAGGCGGTTCTTCAGCAACTTGGATGGAGGACAAATGCCCCTGCCTCACTGCCACCAGATGCAAAGGAAAGCATTGCTACTGGTGGCATCAAGGCCAGAGGTTCCTCACCCCGACAGATTTTCTTTTGCTTCAAGGCGTGTGGCCTGGGGCTTACAAGCCTGGAGATGTTGAAGAACTTCAACGTTTTCCACAAAGGGTATTAGGACATATGATTGGCAACGCCATGTCTGTTTGTGTAGTGCGACGCTTAGCGCGATGCATTTTCCAAGCACGTGGCATTCTTTGAGGAATAGGCGGCATGTTTCCAGTTTGACCTGTTGAAAATCATTTGAGTCAGCTGCGCTAGCCGTGGTTACCACATTGCTTGCACATTCAGTGCTGAACATTGCCGCAATGCAATTCAACCTCGGTTTTGCTTTGTCCATCACATCGACCCATTCGACCCAGGTTTTTTGGCTCACAAAACTAGTCTAACTTGCAACATGGCAGCAGCAGGTGAGAAGAGATTGCCCCAAGGTGTCCTCAACAGAGCTGACTTGCAGTTGGGGGTCCAAGCCTTCTTGCGGTGGGATCCAGCACTCAAGGAGAAGAGCGCGTTCGAGCTGGAAAATGCTCGTGAGGCTTTGATTTTTTGCCAGCCTTTCTTCAAGGAAGACCGCACTAGGTCATGTGCGCTTGCCTGTGCCATCATGTTTTTGACCATCCTTCAGATGACGCTGGACCGCCCTGACACAGAGCCCACAGACTGTACATGGACCGCTCACCTTTACACCAGGTCTGGACAAATCCAGCCTATGCAAGAGAAGATCGAGAAATGTCCAGCTTTGACATCGCGCGAGTTGCTTGCAGGAAAGGTTGGTGAGTTGGATAGCGCTGCTTCTTTTCTTTTGGGCGCCATCAACGCCATGCCTCATGACCTGCTGCCCCAGGCGCCGCATTTCGAAGGCTGTTTCGCTTGCCTGGACGACTTGTTGGTGCATATGAATTTTCGACTTCACCAAAGTTCTTCTGCTATTTAGGTTCGAGACCGAGGCATGTGAGCTGAACAAATGTCCTTTGGTGCTGCTCGCTTTCGCATAAACACAGTGGCCCCGAGAACGACCCACAAACTTTCAAGGAGGACATCGCCCTTAAGATCGAAACCTCCTGTAACGCCAAAGTTATTGATTGATCATAGCTCGACAGACATTATAAGGAAGGCCTTGCAAGGTCTCCTGCGCACAAGCTGTTTTCAAGGAGGTGTTGCCTCCTTTGTTAAAATTTATGGGAGGCGCCGCTGTAAAGTTTGTGGAGGGCGCCACCGCGCAGAGCGGGGAGGGGCTCTGTGCCACAACAAAAACACAAGAATCACCTACTATACACATCGGATCTTTGCACAGTGACGCTTAGCATCAGTCATATTTGTTTTTTAATTATAACTGATCGATTTGTAAACATCCGGAACACCATTCTTCAGTTTTAAATCCACATTACCACCCACTAAATAAAAGCAACGCCAATCACTTCATCACAGAAGCACCATCAATCAGCACAAAGAACCTTACTAAATCCACCCCAGCCAGCGTACACACTGTACCGTACCCACCGTACCCACCGTACCCACCGTACCGTACCCACTGTACCCACCGTACCGTACCACCGTACCCAACGTACCGCACCCTTCACCGTACCATCATTTTTGAGGACCGTGCCCCCCCACAGAGCATTACTCTTGAAATTTGATAAAATACACCAATCTAAAACAGATTGAAAACAATTTACCCACCATAAACGTGACATTTCTCATTTTCTCGTAGTTTCCCTCCTCTGGTGTTGCCCCATTGTGTTACCCCGCTAGTATCTCCCCCTGAGTTTCAAGGTGGACCTCCTGAGTTCCTCTTGTGGATCCGGAGGGCCTGTCACCCCTATTGTGTCTAATCGTATCTGCTGACACGTACTCATGCCCCATGCTGTTTTTCCATGCATATTAGATCATGTTCTTTCATGTAGGGTTGACATCCCCTGCATGGTAGCCACTAAAACTCAGGCCCTAGACTGAGGGCAGACGAAACGACACAGGCCGAGGAAAACCCGCTAGGCCGACGCTGCTGGGGGGTTCAGGTGGCCGGTGACCACTAGGTTACGAGCCCAAGCCATGCTGGAGCGCAGAAGAAGAGAGACTCTGCGAGAGAACGTGGCTGAAGAAGAGGCTGACCAGGAGGTGGAAGTGCTGAAGGGAGGGCAGATGAAGGCCCTGGAAGATAAGAGGCCAGAAGAAGACCAAATGGCGCTGAGGGGAAAGGGAACACCAAGCCAAGGAGGTGAATTCCTGAAGACGCCCTCACAGCCAACCCTGGAAGATGATATGGGGAGAACTCCACGGCAGGAGGAAACCCCAAAGGAGTGGAAGACTCCGAAGACCCCGGTTGAGACACCCCGGCAAGCAGAACCCCCGACAAGCTCCACAAGAGAAAGGGAAGAGAGAGGAGGAAGAACGGCATCGGCAGCCCAGACCCCCTTTCACAGACCCTCAGGAGCACCTGAGACCAGCCCCCAATGGCCTGGGGGACCCAAGACCAGCCCGACCACGCTCCGACCAGCCAACCAGCCAGAACCACAACCGCTGTTCGACGACGAGCAGTTGAGGAGATATGAAGAGTTGCGGAGACAGGCACCGATGCTGAACCCGCCCCAAGTCCAACAGAGGACACTTGAGGAGATGCGACCTGAAACTCTGAGAGAGGAGGAGTTGAAAAGGTTGAGAAAAAGAGAAGAAGAATTGGAGATGGAGAGGACCATGCTCCTGAGAGAAAGAGAAGAGTTGCAGAGACTGCTGCAACAGAAAGAAAGAGAAAAGAGCCGAGAGAGGCATGAGGAGGAGTTGCAGAGACTGCTGCAGCACTAACAAAGAGACGAGAGCCGAGAGAGGCATGAGCAGAGACTGCTGCAACACAAAGGAAGAGATGAAAGCCGAGAGAGGCATGATGAGAGGCGCCAGAACGCCATAGAAGATGAAGATGTCCAGTATAGGACCCCTGAAGAAGAAAGCCAGACAGCCAAGAAGCTGTTTCAAGACGAGCTTGAGGAGGCTGACAGACCCCCAAAGCCCGAGGCTGAAAGACCCCCAACGGCCAGAGAGGCCACAAGACCCCTGAAGACAGAAGCTGCAGGTTCCTCAAGGCAAGAGGAGACCCCAGGAACGTTGCAGCTGATGGCAATGATGATGCATACAATGACAGAGATGCAGAAGAAGATGCTTTCCAAGGATGGAGGAAAAGAAGGAGAGGGGGGAGAAGCAGAGTACGTCAGAAGCCACCCTGAAGTGCCAAGACTGACGGACTGGAACCCCTCGACAGGTCCGATAGACCTGAACGATTGGTTGGCGTTGATTGAGCCAATCATGGCAGACCTCACAGCCACCTCACACGACTGGTGGGATAGGCTGCTGAAAGAAGCAAGACAGTGGTACCAAGACCACATGGCTTTGAGTCCAATGGACAGGCTGACACACGAGCCACAGCCTTCCAAAGACTTGGACCAGCCCAAGTGGATCCGCCTAGAAAGAAGGGCGTCCACACTGCTCATGATGAGCATCCCTGAAGCCCAGAAGGAGGAGCTGGTGTCGACGAAGAGGATCACAGCTCTGAAGATCATCTGCCACCTCTTCACGACCTTTCAGCCTGGAGGATTGGCTGAGAAGGAGGTCATCCTCAGGTCGTTGGAGATGCCACAAGAAGCAGCAACAGTGGCAGAGGCAGTGAGTTCACTGAGGAAGTGGATGAGATGGAGGAGACGAGCAATGGAGCTTCAGGTGAGCGAGCCTGATCCCTTCCTCTTGCTCAAAGGCTTGGGACGCATCGTCCGCCGACCTTTGGAAGCCAACAGAGAGCTGAATTTCAGGATCAGCTTGGCCAGGTCGATGCTCCAGGTCGACTCGACCCCCACGAAAGACACAGTGGGAAAGTTCTCGACCCACCTCTTGGCTGAGATGGAACAGATAGCACACCTTGAAGGCAGCACGAAGAGCACCAGCAAGGACACGCAGAAGCAAGCACAGCCAGAGGTGAAGGTCAGGAAGATTGAAGAAGGAGGAAAAGGTGAAGGTAAGTCAGGGAAAGGTGAGAGAGCCCCCTGCAAGTTCTTCATCACGACAGAAGGATGTCGCAAGGGAAAGGGTTGCAGATGGGCCCACAACCTTGACGACCAGAAGAGATGCTGGAATTGCGGCTCGACGCAGCACTACGCACCAGCGTGTGACAGACCCCGAGAACCCAACAAAGAGGGAAGTCCGGAAAAGAGCGGAAAACCCTGGGAGGGGAAAGACATGAAGCCGACGGCAAAGGTGGTGAAGAAAGAGGAAGCCACCAAGAAAGAAGAGGTAGCCAAGGAAGGCTCCAATGAAGGAGACAGCAGTGAAGCCATGAAGGGACTGCTGGAAGAGGCCAACAAGATGTTGAAGGCCTTGCAACAAGGAAAGAATGAAGAAGACGAAGGGAAGGAGGTCAGGCTGCAAAAGTTGCAGAAGCAGCTTGATGAACTCAAGACCCTGAAGGTCTTCAGGATCTCCAAGATCCACACAGAAGAAGGAGACTATGGTCTTTTAGACTCTGGCGCGACGCACGCCTTGAGAGGAAGACAGCCAGGAGAATCACTCAAGGACTTGACAGAGGTCCGAGTGACGTTGGCCTGTGGTAGAGACGCCACACTGAAGATGACAAGAGGAGGAACAATGCTTGGCCAACATGAGGAGACAGAGCCAATCGTTCCACTTGGAAAGATGGTCAGCCAGCTCGGCTGTACGGTGGAATGGGATGAGGGAAGCCTTGTCGTGTTTCACCCAGAGAGGGGAAGACTGGCCACAACACAAAGAGGAGGATGCCCTCACATCCCAAGACCACTGGCCTTAGACATCATCCAGGAGCTTGAGGAGAAGTCTGGATGGATGAAGAAGATGAAGACCAAAGAAGAAGACGAAGAAGATGTCTTGAAGAAGATGGTGGCCGTTCATCCGGTCTTCAGAGACCTGCCAGAGGAGGTAAAGAAGGAACTGGTGGTGATGCCATCAAAGGATTTGACAGCCCTTCCAGGGATGAACCGTAGACAAAGACGGAAGATCCAAAGGGAAGGAGCCACTCTGCACCTGTTCGCGGGGGAGGACGACGGATTCACCCTGGGCCAGGCAGTGAAGAGTGCAGGCGGCGATGTCCAGACTCTGATAGAGCTGGATCAGAAGAGAGGACCTGGGCATGACCTGATGAGCTCAGATCCGTATGCCACACTGTTGAGGTTGGCATTTGACAACAGGATCAGAGGGATCCTAGCAGGCCCAAACTGTCGCACAAGATCAGTGCTGAGGAACTACAGGATGACACCAGAGTGTCATGGGCCAAGACCGCTTCGAGAGTGGGGTGGTGAAGAATTTGGCAGGAGAGACCTGCGAAAAGATGAGAAGACGAAGGTGTGGCAGGACGATGTCATGCTCTTCAGGACGCTGCTGTTGTACATCCTGGCAGTCCACGTCGAGAAGACAAAGGATGAAGAAGAAAAAGAAGAAGGCACCAAGAGAGACGCCAAGACAGAAGAACAGAAGACAGGAGGAGAGGGATGGAAGAGGATCATCCTGGCTCTCGAGCAGCCGAGTGCTCCTGAGTACCTCCCAAAGACGGTCTCCTTCTGGTGGACGGACCAGTGGAGAAAGATGAAAGAGATGTACGATCTGCAAGAGATCAAGTTTAACCAGGGAGACTGGAAAGGAGAAGAAGGCGGCAAAGGCTGCATAAAGCCCACAACGATCGGCGGGAACGTCGAGATCAAGGTTCCAGAAGAGAGGAACCCAGAAGCCAAAGGAAGATCCCAAGACAGGGTCCAAGACTCAAAGAGCCTGAGCCGATGGGTGCCGGGTTTGATGAAAGAGCTGGCGAAGGAAGTGGTCAAGAAGTGCCAATAAAGACCCGTCCAGCTAAGGCCAATGTCATGGGAACAACATGTGAAGCATGGACACGTCCCGTTCAGAAGAGACTGCAAGATATGTCAGGAGTCTGGGGCTAAGTCCGCTCCACACCGGCGCTTGAACGCCAAGAAGGGACAATTCCCAAGAGCGGGAGTGTTGTCGGTGGACACCACAGGCCCACTAGTGAAGGGTGAGGACCTGATGGGAAACAAGATGAGATTCCTTCTGGTGGGTGCATACACATGGCTTCCACCAAAGGATTCACCTCTAGAAGACAAAAGGAATGAGAGAGTTCCAGAAGAGGAGGTGGATGCGATCGAAGGGCTGAGGATCGATGACAGTGAAGGAGAGGCTGATGATGAAGCAGAACACACAGAGGAGGATCCCCAACAAGACCCCCCTGGCAACCCTGAGGAGCCCCAAGGTGGTGAGAGAGCCATCAACCCCCAGGAGCCACAAGAAGCAGCCAAGGAGGAGGTGGATCAGCCAGAGGACTTTGAAATCAAGATTTTCAGATTGGTGACTCCCTTGCCCTTGAAGGCGGGGGGAGTAGTCCTCCAAGCAGTCATCGACATGATCCTCAAGCTCAGATCAGATGGATTTGATGTTTCCCAAGTCCACTCCGACAACGGAGGTGAGTTCACCTCAGATGCCATGAGAAGATGGATGAAGGCAAGAGGATACATCCGAACATTCACGGGTGTCAGCAACCCACAATCAAACGGCAGAGCAGAGAATGCCGTACAACAAGTGAAGACACACATAAGAAGATTGCTGCATCAAGCAGGGTGGTCCGAAGACCAATGGCCACTTGCAGCGCGCCACTGCGACGAACAGTTGCGCATGTGGAGGTGTGGACTGAAGCGAAAATTTCCACCACTGGGAGCTGAAGTCCTGGTCAAGAAGAGGAGGTGGAATGCGCAACAGTTCCTGCCAACAATGGACCGAGTGACATACATCGCTCCATGTTGGGAAGGTCACGGTCACTGGGTGAAGCAAGAAGACGGGACGACCATCGTAGCCCGGTTCTGCATAGCTGATGTGTGGAACCCCGTGACAGACCACTCGTGGCTGGCAGTCATGACAGAGATGCCAGATCCACTTGAAGAAAGAAGAAGATTGAGGAGAAAGACGCCACCAGAGTTGGCGAAGATGGAGGTTCAAGAAGACGAACCAGGGGAAGAGGGGAGAGACCCTGAACCCAGAAGAAGATCAAGACTTCTGCAGCTGATCATGGAGGAGATGACAGCTCTGATGGAAGACCCCTCAGAAGAGGCCCTGAAGACGACGATGCAGTCTGTGGCCAAGCTCCGAATGATGATGGAGACGGGCACAAGTGAAGACGTTCTTCAGACGAGGATCGTGGGCCTGGGGGAGGTGATGAAAGACCTTGAAGGATGGAAGAAGCCCATCGAAGAAGAACTGAAGTCTTTGGTGGAAGACAAGATGGCCCTTGAAGCCATTTCCAAAGAGGAGGTGGAGAAGATGTTCAGGGAGGCACACGCCGAAGGAAGAAAGCTGGAGGTGGTGCCAGGAAAGCTGGTGACGGTGGTGAAGCCCGCACCAGAAGGAGGAAAGAAGAAAGCCAGAATAGTGGCGTGTGGAAACTTCACGGCGAAAGATGCCCAGGACGAACTGTACGCGTCCACTGGTGATGCAGTGACTTTGAGGATCATGATGAAGTTAGCATCAGAAAACCAGTGGGACGGAGTCATGTTGGACATCCGTACAGCGTTCCTCAACACACCATGGGAAGACATGGATGTGTTGGTGAAGCCACCCCACTTGCTGATCAGGATGAAGCTGGTCGAAGAAGGCACGCTGTGGCGGCCGACGAAGGCCTTGTATGGCTTCAGAAATACCCCAAGGTTGTGGGGAAACCACAGGGATTCCACGATGAGGAAGATGGAAGTCCCACATGAAGGGAAGCGACACAGATTGACACAGCTGGTGTCGGAACCCAACCTCTGGAGGATAGATGAGGTGAAAGATGAAGATGAAGAAGAGGAGAAGCCGAAAGGGCCTCCAAAAGCCCTGATGATGGTCTACGTGGACGACTTGTTCGCCACAGGTCCAACACAGCTACTGAAGGCGCTGACTGAGACCATCAAGAAGGAATGGAACACCTCAACTCCAGAGTGGATCAACGAAGATCCCACAAGATTCCTCGGCATGGGAATCTCCAAGACCAAAGGAGAGGATGGTCTTGAAGTCTGGGCAGCATCCCAGCAGGACTATGTCAAGGAGTTGCTGAGGAGGAACGTGGGGGAGGATGAGAAGAAATGGCCTAAGAGAAAGGTGCCAATCTCCAAGGATCCACCGGCTGAACACCAAGAAGAGCCAAAGGTGGAAGGAGTCAGGAAGGCCCAGAAGATAGTGGGCGAAGCACTCTGGTTAGTCACGAGGACCAGACCAGACATGATGTATGCCTTGGCGAAGATGGCCAGCCAAGTGCTGCATCAACCCCAGTGGGTCGCAGAGAGCGCATCCCAACTGTGGGGATACATGGCTGCCACGATCCATGAAGGGATCACCTTTGAGAAAGGTCCATCATGGGAAGGATGGGAAGAGCAGTCAGGGCTTGCTGTTTATGCTGACGCAAGCTTCGCACCCTCAGGTGAAGAAAGTCACGGTTCAGTGATTGTGACTCTGAGGGGAGCCCCGCTGCTATGGAAGAGCTCAAGGCAGTCGACGGTCAGCCTTAGCACAGCGGAGGCAGAGCTGAACGAGCTCATAGAAGGATTGATGATGGGGGAAAGTGTTGCAGCGATTTTGGAGGAGCTGGAACCCCACATCATGAAGATGATGGCATCAGACTCGCAGGCAGCGGTGAACATCTGTCTGGCAGATGGAGGAAGCTGGAGGACCAGACATCTGCGCTTGAGAGCAGCGCATGCCAAACAGAGATTCACCAAAGGAGACTGGCTGCTGCGACACGTGCCAGGCGAAGACATGCTGGCAGACATGGGGACGAAGAGCCTGACGTCAGCCAGGCTGGAAAAGCTCAAGAAGGGGCTTGGCATGAAGAAGATTGGAAAAGATGAAGAAAAGAATGAGGAGCCAGAAGAGAAGACGGCACCAGAAGAGGCAAAGAAGATCAAGAAGAAGGAACAGGGGACCAGAGTCCCAAAAGAAGTAGAGAAGGCACTCCAGTGCGTGGCGTTGATGATCGCCATTCAGGGAGCCAAAGCTCAAGATGATGAGGAGACCGAAGAAAGGGCAGAGATGTTCCACATTGAGCTGATTCTGATGTTTGCTCTTGTGGGAGTGGTCTCAGTGATCCAGAGGATCATCCCTTGTCTGATGGGCTGGCTTCGGAGAGACCGACAGCCTGAGGAAGAGCCCACAGAAGAAGAAGGAAGCAGGGTGAGAGGAGCACCCACAAGACGCCAAGAAGAACAGGCGTTGAGGACCCCAGAGAGCATCAGGAGGAGAAGGAGAGTGGAAGCCAGGGATGATGAAGACACAGAGGAGGAGACAGACCCAGGCGTTCCATTCCCTCACGGAGATCGTGATGGGAACCTCTTCCTGAGGAATCCACCGGGCCCAAAAGCACCGCCAAGACAGCTGGCACACATGTATCCCATGCCAAAGGGACAGCAAAAGGGCCAGCAAGCAGGCCAAGCAGGCACACAAGCAGGCCAATTGGGCCTACAAGCAGGCCGACCGGGCCAACAGGCAGGCCAACAGAAAGGCCGACCACAACAGGCAGCTAGCAGCAGCACAACACCGGTGCACATGCTTGTGCCACCACCACCACCACAAGAGCCAGGCGCAGAGCCACCACGGCTGGTGGAAGAGTTCTTCCAAGGACTCGTACAAGAAGAACACGAGCACCCAGATGATTGGGACCCGGAGATCCATGGGCAGATTTACCCAGGGAAAGGAAGTTCACCACAGGCATACTTCCAAAGGATGGCCGAGAAGGGTCAAGCCAAAGGGAGTGAAGAAGGAACGCCGATGAAGGGCGCCAAAAAAGGAAAGAAAGGTGATGATGAGATCGCGCAGGCCAAAGGCGCGAAAGGAGAAGGAAGCCCACAGAAAGGGGCACCCAAGGGCCAAGGAAAGAAAGGCCGGGCAGAAGATGAAGAAGTCCCAGAGAAGGGAGCACAAAAAGGAGGAGGAAAGATGGCCGAGAACGGCGAAGGAGATGACGAAGCAGCACCTCCAAGAGTGCCAAGTGACGAACATGGCGTGGCACTGCCGGTGTACATCACGCCATGGGGCACAAGATTCCATACAGGGGTCACCTGCCCGACTTTGGCGAACTCTGGATGGATGGTGAGGTCGCCGTGGTGCCCTCTGTGCTGTGTCGGCCTCCAGCCGAGCTCCGCTACCATCCTCTACTCAGAGGGACCGGGAAGAACGGTGCATATAGCCGACGAGAATGCGCTGGGCCGATGCAAGGCTACCCCATGTGCCAACGATGCGACGGGTACCAGAGGTACTGAGAGTGGCTTGAGCTGAGGGCACAAAGATGCCGTGCGTAGACCCCAGACCAATGCTGGGTTGCACTGGTAGGTTTTGATCCGGTGGCAGTTGTCACCGAAGATGTCTGGATGGAAATTCCCGGACATGCTAAGCGTAGGTGGTTGCAGGCCTGACGGTCTGAAACCAGGGGAGTGCTGACACGTACTCATGCCCCATGCTGTTTTTCCATGCATATTAGATCATGTTCTTTCATGTAGGGTTGACATCCCCTGCATGGTAGCCACTAAAACTCAGGCCCTAGACTGAGGGCAGACGAAACGACACAGGCCCAGGAAAACCCGCTAGGCCGACGCTGCTGGGGGGTTCAGGTGGCCGGTGACCACTAGTATCTACCCGTTATATGTTCCCTCCTGGCACCACCTCCTGAAATAAGAAATGAAAAATGTATGACGGTTCATGGTGAGTAAAGCGAAAACATGAAAATTTAGTTAGAACATATGATGTGTACTTTGGAATCTTTCTATGTAGAATATCAGTTGTTCTTATTGATCTATATTGTTCTGAGAAATGTCACGTTTATGGTGGGTAAATAGGAAAAAGCTGCTTGCGTAACAATTGAAACATTAAAATGTGCAAATATATTTAATAGCTCGATATTTTCAACAAATGATTTCTATCTATACATTCTGACCACACTGGGTTTTTAAAACATTCAGTGGTTCTCTGCACAATATTGCAATGAAATATAAAATATATTTTTCCAATATTTTTTTGGGAGAGCACAGGGGGGTACGCAAGAAATCTATGAACAATTCCGCAGCTCTGAAAGCCAGACAATTCCCAATAAAAACTACCAGCAAGAGCTGTGGACTATCCTCTCTTAGTTGTGCCCTAATCATATAGCAGTTTTGCCAGATTCTGCTTTTCAACAGGCTCTTTCCCGCTGACCACTGACTGTCCTTGGAGCTGGGGCAATCTCGCTTCTTCTCCTTCTCAAATATTTTTCATGGGTTTCTAGCGGACCCGCCCACGAGCCCCCCCCAACCCAACAAACAAGGATTTCAGCCAAAAAGAAATAACACAGGAATAAATTTGAACCCGTTAAGGCTGAAATAAGGCTTATTCCTGTACCATTCTCTTCCATGCCCAAACCTGTTGTGGATGTGATTTTTCCCGCAGGTTCTTGCATTATTCCTGTGTTATTCCTGTGCTATTTTTTGGGGGTTAACTTTCCCAATATTTTTTGAAAACAGTTTCAAACTCAAATTGCTGTAGAGATGTCGTTTAATAGTTCACATGAGTCTGTAACAAGATATCCTTTGAAAGGGGTCCTCGGGGTGAAAGGGGTCCTGGGCTGCGCGCGCGGCGTTCGCGTGTGCGCGCTGTGCGCGCGCAGCTCAAGACCCCATTCACCCCGAGGACCCGACTGGGTCCACTAATAGCAGAACAGAATGGGGAAATGAAATGATGATTCCATGGATTTATATAATGGGTGTTCCTGTCCCATATCCCATGTTCCTGCCCCCCCCGGGAAAAACATGTAATTCAAATTTCAACTCTCAGAATAATTATGATGGATTTTGTTTAATCTGCACAATTTGTATGAATCTTTATATTAGATATCAAATGAACTTAATAAACTATTAGGATCTATTAGGCATCTAAAAAGCATTCACCAAAAAGCTGATCCCCACAATTTTGTATATGTAAAATTTTATTAGGTTTCTGAAAAGCCACCACATCATTTTTAGCAATCATTATTAGCACCCTACTAAGTTTTCATACACAAATTGGACCCCGGCAATCTTGTATAAAACCTTACTAGGCATCTATTAATGCAAAAATTCCTTATTAGCACCCTAATACAATTTCATACAAAAATCGCACCCGACCAATTCGGTATAAAATCTGATTATATATATATATATATAGGAATCTAAAAAGGCAAATAATCCTTATTCACACACTAAAAAGATTTTATACCAAAAAATAAAATATTAGCATGCTAATAAAGCAACTTTTCATTATTAGCATACTAAGAATGATTTATACAAACCACCGAAATCAATCCTTGTTAGGCTACTAACCCATTTTAGTTTGTATCCCTTCAATTTTCTGGATAGTAGCCTAAAAAATCTTATAAGAGACAAATAAATTCATGGATGCAAACCGAATTTCTTATTTACTATCTAAAAATCTTGTCAGGGGGTACGGGGTAGGGTAGTGTAGAAGTTCATGATGAAAGTATCAAGTCAGTGATGCTCGAGTATTCCTGTTGGATCTAAATGGAATGAGTCTGGTGCCTGCTGGATGTACATCGATCATGTCGTTGTAGTGGAAAAAATGCGCAAAGTCATGGCGGAGGAAGAAGAGCACTGCATCCAAAGATGTCCTGATCTTGAGCTCTTTTGAGTAGATTTGAGTAGTAGTATGCAGTGTGCTTGTCACGGATCACCTCTGCGAGTTGAGATGGCAAAGAAGAAAAATAGAGAATGGCCGAATGGCTACGACTTTCCTTTCCCATCCGCCAGAAAGAAGTGGCGAATTACTCTTGGTACTTTACCCCTGTACCCTCTGCCAAGGAGCAGCAAAGAGTCAAAAGGCAAATACCTGGCATTGCCATCTCTCACCGGAATCAAAATACTTACACGCAGACTTTAGCTGACCGTGCAAGACCTTGCCAGGCATGTCCTCCGGTGCTTTTCTTGCACAGGCAGGTGCTGTCAGTGACTTGGCTGTTCCAACACTCAAGGCTGGACTGTGAGCTCTGTTGCGAGCGAGTTGCTCAGCCCCGTGAAAGTAGGGGTAGCCTACCTAGGGGGCCACTCATGTTACCAACACCGCAGCACATTCTTCGTTTGCGTGTGAAATATCTGGGAGTGTGGCCAGACAGTAGAGACTGACCGAGGGTTTTCCACAAAGAAAACGGCAGAAGGGGCCACACCAAGCAAGGAAGAAGTCAAGGCATCCAAGGCATCCGAGGCACAGGGCAATGCGCATCGCCTGAACACTCATCTATGCCCAGCTTCACACAGCAACGATTTCCCAAGCTCACTGGGTAGAGGCCTCGCCCTGCAGTAGCCAGGTATATATGATTGGGCAAGACATGTCCCATGTAAAATTGCCACCTTGAGATGCGTCAAATCACGTCCGTGAATGGCCAAAACTAAATTTTAGTCAAGTCTTTGCTTCCCAGCTTGCACCATTGATCTTCAGGCATCAAGTGGCGCAGCAAATGCTGCCAGTGCAGAGACTATGGAATTGCTCTGCAGCCGCCTCCAACTTTCCAGGAAGGACAGTCGTAGATATTGCTGCCTCCACAAGCCTGCAGGCCAACACGGTTTTGAGCAGCACAATATGAAGGTCTTTGGAGCTGTGCCTGGTTTGTTTGGTGTGATACCGTGATAGCCAGAAGTCGCCAATGAAACCACAGAGTATAGAATGACTTTCAGCGTGGGAGAGGTTCCCTTCACTAAATTGCAACAGACACACGCTGCAATTCATGCAGACCAATGAACCCATCCACAGAACCCCAAAAGCAAAGCATTAGCACACACGGAGCGTGTGAAATCAAATCCACTAATTACTCATGTCGACGGTACGTGCGAGATCATGTGAGAATGAGAAAATCTACAGCAAGTGGCTCTGCTATATCAGAATCACTTCCTCGGGTCCATCGAACAAAGCATCCAAGAAGGCCAAGGCCAAGGCCAAGGTCCATCTTACACGTTTACATGCCTCGACAGCATGCCCCGAACGAAACAAATGCCACCAGAACCTAGAATAGTTTAGAAACATCAAAATCCATGCAGCCTTCTAGAAACTGAGATAGAGTAAGTAGGTTCCAATTGTTTTAATTTGTGCTATCAAGAGCAAACGGAGCTCACCCGCGTTCTCAAGAAGTGGCAGCACATACCAGGGTCCGGGTTACAGTCAGCCCTATGTGTATGCATATATATATATATATATATTGATTGATTGGTATATATTTAGGCAGGCATCCCTCCTGAATCTTAGCCAAAACTACAGGGTTCAACATTCCTCACAGGGTACTCAACCCAGGACATCACGGAAAACCTGGCATGCTTCCTAATGAGCTCTGTGCCAACCTAACCTACCCACTCTCCACAATATGCGTGTACCTACATATAATTATATACTCTTCAGTGGCTTTAGAACACTTTCCTTCAACCATGCCAGAGCTGTCAATTGACCTGTTGATAGCTATCACAAGTATGGTATGGCAGATATCTCACTAGCACCTCCCTCAATACCCAGCCACGGCTGAAACGGAACCTCACATAGCGCCAACTCAGCAGTTCGCAGTCCCAGGACCTAAGCTTTAGGAGGCATATCAAACTTGGGTAGATGCCATGGCCTGCGTTACCCCAGATCCATTTCATACACATGGACCGCTCATGGGGAAACCATGCAGGAATGTGGTAGGGACTGGTACGGCATAGTGTGGTGTTCAATGTTGGCACAGGCCGGGGCGCTCTTTTCGAAGGCAGAATCACCTCCCAGATTTGGCTCTCGTAGTCCCACCATAGAGCTTTGGCGCGGACACCGTTCAAACCTTAATGGGAAAATGAATGCAAATGGTTTCTTCGAAAAAACACATGGTATCAACAGATGTCATTAAAAATTCATGCATTCACAAAGCTTTGCACAACCCCTAATTGAGATCTAATTGAGTCACGACACCGCTTGCCTTGCTCTGACCGAAGATCACAACCTGCAAGTTCAATGGCAATCGGTCGCAGGCACTGCCCACAAGTACAATAATCACCAGGTAATGCACTGCACATCACTTTGTGAGACTTTGCAGTTCCTTCAATATGTCTCAACGATCTTCAACGTCTTCAACACAATTCCGATAGCTATATCCGCCGACCCCTGCCGATAGCAGGGGGAGCGCGTCAGAGAAGAGGGGAACACAGGGCAAGCTGCAAGCTGCAAGCGCAAGGAAGCAAGTTGCAAGAGTAAGGGAAAGTAAAGAAAGAGTAGCGTGCAAGACAGAAGCAGCAGTAGCAAAG